CTCATCTCAACAGCCAGAACAAACACAGACTCAAAGTCAAAGGATGGAAAACAATCCTGCAAGCAAACAGCCCCTTCAAAAAAGTTAGGGTGGCCATACTAGTATCCGACAACATTAATTTCACATTGTAAAAGATTAGAAGGGACAGTAAAGGCTATTTTCTCTTCATCAAGGGATACATACAGCAGGAAGAAATCACACTCTTAAATGTATACGCACCTAATGAGGGAACAGCTAAATATCTAAAACAACTGCTAACAGATTTTAAGGAGGACATCGCTACCAACACAATAGTACTTGGAGACTTCAACATCGCCTTATCAACTCTAGATAGATCAACAAGAACAAAACCTAGCAAGGAATTATTGGCCTTGAAAGAAGAAATAGAAGAGAAAGGGCTTATAGACCTATACAGGGCTTCATACCCCCAAAAGAAAGAATACACATTCTTCTCCAGTGCGCACGGAACATTTTCCAAAATAGACCATGTCCTAGGACACAAAACATACCTCAACAGAATCAGGAAGATAGAAATAGTATCAGCCATCTTTTCAGACCATGATGCACTGAGGATAGAAGTGAATCACACACTGACACGGAGAACAAAATCAAACAACTGGAAATTAAACAACTCGATGCTGAACAATGAGTGGGTCAAGAACGAAGTCAAGGACGAAATCAAAAGATACCTGGAAACAAATGAGAATGAAGACACAAACTACCAGAACTTATGGGATGCAGTGAAAGCTGTATTAAGGGGAAAATTTATAGCTCTGCAAGCATATCTTAGGACTGTAGAAACGATGCACATAAACAACTTGACCTCACAGCTCAAGACCTTAGAAAAGGATCAACAGAAAGAGCCTAAATCAGGCAGAAGGAAAGAGATCATAAAACTTAGAGCAGAAATCAACGACATGGAAAACAAAGAAACAATCCGAAAGATCAATAAAACCAAGAGCTGGTTCTTCGAGAAAATAAATAAGATAGATAAACCACTAGCAACACTCACAAAGAAACAGAGAGAGAGAGCCTTAATAAATCGAATCAGAAATAAGAATGGGGATATCACAACAGAAACTAAAGAAATTCAAGAGATCATCAGAGACTACTTTGAAAGTCTCTATGCCACGAAACAAGAGAACCTAGAAGAAATGGATAAATTCCTGGATTCCTATCATCTCCCAAAGCTGAAGCAAGAAGATATAGAGTACCTGAATAGACCTATTCACATCAAGGAAATTGAAACTGTAATCAAAAGTCTTCCCAAAAACAAAAGCTCAGGTCCAGATGGATTTACTAGCGAATTTTTCCAAACATTTAAAGAGGACCTATTGCCAGTTCTTCTCAAGCTTTTCCAGGAAATTGAAAAAACGGAAACTCTCCCAAACAGTTTCTATGAAGCCCATATCTCTCTAATATCAAAAGGAAACAAAGACACCACAAGAAAAGAAAACTACAGGCCGATATCCCTGATGAACACGGATGCGAAGATTCTCAACAAAATACTAGCCAATAGAATTCAACAACTCATCAAAAAGATCATACACCATGACCAAGTAGGATTCAAACCAGGGATGCAAGGATGGTTCAACATTCGGAAATCAATCAACATAATCCATCATATCAACAAAAGAAAAGATAAAAATCATATTATCATATCAATAGATGCAGAGAAAGCATTTGACAAGATCCAGCACCCATTCATGATGAAAACCCTTGCCAAAATGGGGATAGAGGGGACTTTCCTAAATATAGTTAAAGCCATCTACCACAAACCTACAGCAAACATCATCCTCAACGGGGAAAAACTGAGAGCCTTCCCCCTAAGCTCAGGGATGAGACAAGGATGCCCACTCTCTCCACTGCTGTTCAATAAAGTACTGGAAGTACTTGCAATAGCGATTAGGCAAGAAAAAGATATTAAGGGCATCCAGATAGGGAAAGAAGAAATTAAGCTCTCACTATTCGCAGATGACATGATACTATACTTAGAGAACCCTAAAACCTCTACCAAGAAACTCCTAGAAACAATAGGCTTGTATAGTAAAGTGGCAGGCTATAAAATCAATACCAAAAATCCATGGCTTTCCTATATGCAAATAGTGAAAGAGAAGAAAGTGACATGAAGAAAACAATTCCATTCATAATTGTGCCCCAGACAATCAAGTACCTAGGAATCGCCTTAACTAAGGAAGTAAAGGATCTGTACAAAGAAAACTACAAAACACTACTTCGGGAAATAAAAGAGGACACGAGGAAATGGAAAAATATCCCCTGTTCATGGATGGGGAGAATCAACATTGTCAAAATGGCAATACTTCCCAAGGCACTGTACAAATTCAATGCAATCCCTATAAGGATACCCACAACATTCTTCAAGGAAATGGAGCAAACACTCCTGAAATTTATATGGAACAATAAGCCCCCATGAATAGCTAAAGCAATTCTTGGGAAAAAGAAAATGGGAGGAATCAACCTAACTAACTTAAAGCTCTACTACAAAGCAGTAATAATCAAAACAGCATGGTACTGGAACAAAGGCAGAGTTGCAGACCAATGGAACAGAGTTGAATATACTGACATCTCCTCCCAAACATATAATCATCTAATCTTCGATAAGGGGGCAAGAAAAGTGAAATGGAGCAGGGAAAGCCTCTTTAATAAATTGTGCTGGCAAAACTGGACGGCTACATGCAAAAAAGTGGGCTCAGATCTCTGCCTAACGCCATGCACAAAAGTAAGATCGAAATGGATTAAAGACCTCAACATCAGACCGGAATCCATAATGTTTATTGAAGACAAAGTTGGCAAAACTGTCCACGATATTGAAGTTAGTGGTATCTTCAAAGATGTAACGCCACTGGCCGAGCAAGTGAAAACAGAGATAGACAAATGGGACTATCTTAAACTAAGAAGCTTCTGCACCTCAAAAGAAACAGTGACCAAAATATAAAGACAGCCTACAGAATGGGAAAGAATATTCACCAAATACACATCAGACAAGGGGTTGATATCAAGGATATACAAGGTACTGGTTAAACTACAGAGGAAGAAATCACCCAACCCCATCAAAAAATGGGGCGAGGAGATGAACAGAAACTTTCGCAAAGAAGAAATCCGAATGGCAAAAAGGCACATGAGAAAATGCTCTACATCACTAATCATCAGAGAGATGCAGATCAAAACAACAATGAGATATCATTTCACACCACAGAGACTGGCCCACATCCACAAGAACAAAAGCAACAGGTGCTGGCGCGGATGTGGCGAGAAAGGGACCCTCCTTCACTGCTGGTGGGAATGCAGGCTGGTCCAACCCTTTTGGAAAACAGTATGGACGATTCTCAAAAAATTAGAATTTGATCTCCCATTTGACCCAGCTATAGCACTCCTGGGAATATATCCCAGAGAGGCAAAAAGGTATAGTCAAAGTGACATCTGCAATTGTTTGTTCATTGCAGCACTCTTTACAATAGCCAGAATCTGGAAAAAACCTGAGTGCCCAAGAACAGATGACTGGTTAAAGAAACTTTGGTACATTTACACAATGGAGTACTATGTAGCTGTTAGAAAAGATGAAGTTATGAAATTTACATACAAGTGGTACTACATGGAAAGTATCATGTTAAGCGAAATGAGTCAGAAAGAGCGGGATAGACACAGAAAGATTGCATTCATCTGGGGAACATAAAGCAACAAAACGGGAGACTAACACCCAGGAATGGCTCAGATTAGTACCAGGAACTTTGCTCCATGACTTGAAGGCCAGCCACATGTTCTAGGTGAAAAGGAAGCTCAGATAGAGAAGAGAGCACCAAATAAAGGGTGTTGTGAAGGCCCTCCCAGGGTGGAAGAGACATGCTAAAAGTAGTCTATAGACCAAACATGATTGCCACTCAATGCCTCTCTGGCAAAACACAGTACCCAAAAGAAGAGAGAGAGAACAAGGGGGAATGCCCTGCCACAGAGGCAGGGTGGGATGGGGGGGGGTGGGGGGGGTGGGAGGGATGCTAGGACCCGTGATGGGGGAGGATGGGCACTGGTGGAGGGATGGGTACTTGATCATTGTATAACTGAAACCCAAGCACAAAAATTTATAAGTCTATAAATGTACTTCATGGTATTTCACTAATAAAAAATGATAAAAAAAGAATTTCAGACATTTTTGTATTAGAAGTGATTTTAAAGATTATCTACTGTCAATCTCTCTCTTGTTGGGAATTCCATCTTTTGCCAAAAGATGGTCCCCATACTTGCTTGTATATTTTTTTCTTCAAGACAGCTCACATTACAAATGGCCAATTCAACAACCCTTTATCCAGTTTGAAATCTTGTGTAAGGACTCAGGAGATTGCAAAGCACTTTGGCAGTCTTTTAAGAAGCCTCTTCTCACAGTGACTCCGCAATGCCACTATGGAGCCTAAAACATTATTCTCATCTTTTGCTAAGAAAAGAGGTGAGTGAGATATTTCTGAAATCACATAGTCGCAGTATCAAGTCTCAGCTACACTGTCTACAAATTAGAGGCTTTGGGTAAAGGTTCCAATATTCTGCAACTTAGAAGCAAAATGCTTGGAACAACCCGTTTAAAATTTATGATGATTTCTTAGATGCAAGAGATGAGCATTGGTGATGTTCCCTCTTTTACCCCACCTCCCCATTTCCACAAAGGCATGAGCATTAATATGGGTAAGATGCATGATACTTGTTTCAGTGTCAGGCTTAGTGTCTTGCCTAGTCTAAAATATTAGAGAAATATAAAATAAAAGCTAGCTGATAGGTGCCCCAGAATCTAGACAAGCTCTCTGTGCTTCACATGTCGTCACAAACTAACAAGTCTGCTGCCCTCTGTGTTTAGAACAGAGATTGTTCTGTGCACTGAGTCTAAAATGAAAGCAAAACTCAAACCAAACAAATAATAGCAAAACTCTGATGTTTATCTCCTAGGCAGGAACCGGAAACTGCGTCATTTGCTTGGCTATCCAGTAGAACTGAAGGTCATTTGGTAAGTGTCAACTCACAGAGAAGAAAATGGCTGTGGATATTAACTCGTGGAATTGTAGACTTCAAACTCTGATACAGAAAGAGCAGCCCCAGGCGAGGTGGACCCTGGAATGGGGCGAGAACATCCAGCCAGACTGCTTGCACCCAGGCTGGAAACAGTACCAACAGAGAGCATTTGGCAGGTGGGTAATGTTTGCCTGACAGTGGACCTTCCTGGCCAAGTCCAGAAAGAGAGCATCATCTTCGACGAGTGCTTTGAGAATTTGTTTTAATAAAAGAATTAATGGCAAGAGTTTAGTTTGATGTTTCTAGGTGTCACAGTCTCCAAAAAGAGAGGGAAGAGAGAGACAGGTCTAAAGATTATGTTTGTAGAACTGAGCTTACAGGGGGTTGAGGTGGGGGAAATCCTTTGGACATGGGTAAAGGGTAGGGGTCTCTGCTTTCTGGTTGTGGGTGTGATCTTGGAATGGTATATCTATGAAAGGTATGATTAACATTATTATAAATCCAAGTACCTGAGTAAAAACTAAAAAAAAAAAAGTCATGCAACTCTATTCCATGTGATCATTGTGTGCTTTAGAAACTAAATGACAATACACCCAGGCTTCGTTTTGTGTAATTGTAGGAAGATTCTTTGACTAGTTTTCTTTAAATATTTCTGGAAGTCCCTAAGGAATGCTTCTGTGTTCATAAATATTCCCTTTCTCCTACCACTTCATATGCTCCAGATGAATCGATCTAGAAACTTCTGCTAGCCCCTATCCCATAAGTCCTGGATGGTTTCCCTAGGTCTGTTCAGGACAGCCTGGGCTAGAGTCTCTTTTAAAACCCCGTGAACTAGGTCAAACAATTTCTTCTCACATTACTACAAATATGAAGGTAACAGAAGGAAAGAATGCTATAAGAACAAAATCCAGTTCTTGGAGTCCTTCAGTAACCTCCCTCCCTCCCTCCCTCCCTCCTTTCTTTCTTTCTTTCTTTCTTTCTTTCTTTCTTTCTTTCTTTCTTTCTCTCTTTCTTTCTTTCTTTCTTTCTCCCACTTTCTTCTTTCTTTCTTTCTTTCTTTCTTTCTTTCTTTCTTTCTTTCTTTCTTTCTTTCTTTCTTTTTCGTTCTCTGTCTTCCTCTCTTTCTCTCTTTCTTTGGGGTCACATCTGGAGATGCCCGGGCTTACTCCTGGATTTATGCTCAGGGAGGGTACACTCCTGGCACACTTGGGGGACCATATGGAATGCCAGGGATCTAACCTAGGTTGGCATGCTGCAAGACAAGTACTATTGCTCTGGTCCTATAACACTTATCTCTATATTCTTTGTTCATTTCAAGACACAGAAATCAGCTTCCTTGTCCATGTCAGGAAGGAAACAGGTTACTTATCTGTTCAATCAAGTCCTTTTTCAAATATGGCATAAAGAAGCTTCCCTCTATTATTCTCTCTTCCATTATCCATCTTGCCTACCTGTCCCTATCCTGATGTAAGTGTTTTCACCTCTATTCTTTATGGGTTGTTAGTCATGGCATATGTTTCAGACATTTATACCCTTGTCATGATTACCTGCCTATCTGGAAACTGCCTTCACAAAAATGACATAAACTCAGGGTTACTTTTCCGTAAAGCATTTTGTGATCTAAGAGATGTAGTAAGTGCTCTTCTGCGCAAGATAATAGTTTATGTGTGTATATGTGGGTATGCACAGGCATGGGCTGTGTGTTTCTATGTGTAGTTTCAAATGTATAGACATAATGCATTTATAAATAACATAAATTTATACATTACAATTCAATAACATAATTGTATTTATTAGTGAATTATTTATTTGCTTACAGTGCCTGGGATTGAACCTAAGAATGTACACATGATTCATGCAGGCAACACCCATCCCTCCACCAGTGTACATTTCTCATCACCCCACCCCCACCCTCTGCCTGACTTGATGGCAGGCACTTTTCTTCTCTCTCTCTCTCTCTCTTTCTCTCTCTCTCTCTCTCTCTCTCTCTCTCCTTTTGGGCATTGTGGTTTGCAATATTGATACTGAAAGGTTATCAAGAATATCCCTTACCTACTTTAACCCTCAGATCTTGTCCAGTGTGATCATTCCCAGCTATTATTGTCATAGCGGTCTCTTCTCTATCTTACCTACCCTCAGCCCTCCCCCACACTTGTGGTTGACCAGTCCTCCTAAGTCCTATTTACCCTGGCTATGGATATTCTTCTTCTAATACATAAATATATACATATATATATATATAATATACCACAAGTGAATGCTGTCATTCTATATGACCCTTTCCTTCTGACTCATTTCACTCAGCATACTGCTCTCCATGTCCATCAATTTATAGGCAAGTTTCATGACTTAATTTTTCCTGACAGCTGTATTAACTTGAACTTTTCCAAGTGAAAAGGGATCTTAGGCAGCAAGGTCAGACCTGTTTTCCGTAGGTCACCATTCAACTGAGGGCACAATGGTTTTTTTCTTTCTGTCTGTAGGTTCAAGTGTTCCTCATGCCGACGAAGTTGGGCTTCTGCTCAAGTGAATGTCCTATGTCATATGTATCTGAAATGCCGGAACTCCCAGGGCCTTGTGCTTATGCGGTGTTTTGGTCAGAAGTGCCAGAATTGTTCTTGTTCTCTATTTGAGAAGCCTCATTTCTCTCCAGAATCCACCGGGAGGATTCTACACAACCTGGCCCATCGTATTCTGGAAAAATTTTATGGAGATGGCAGCAGAAATGTCTCAGAGATGCCAGTGAATGTGGAGGTGCATTTGGACGGTTCCCATGACATGGACAATTGTGAAGCATGCAGTCTGGGCTTCTGTGTACAGCGCTTAGAAGAAGACATCAGTACAGAGTCAGCTTACAGCCAATTCTCCTACATGGAGATGGGGAGTAACACCACTGAGGGGCTACGGGCAAGCTATGCTACTTCTGGTTCTTGGGTGCCCAATGAAGGACATCGGAATAACTGGGAGACAGGCCAACAGCACCCACCAGGGGCACATCAACAGGGCTCATGCACAACTAGCCAACAATCTGTCTTAGTAGCAAGATATCTTCCCTCTCAGTTAGCAAACTCCCCAGTAACTCAGACTCATCAGGAATGGCAAGAGACATATTCATCTAGAATGTCTGCCCCAGACAATGCTCTCAGATATTCATCTAGTAATTCTCCTACACAGTATGGATTGTCCCTGTGGGGCTGCATCTGTGCTGTTGCTCTATTTACGTTTCTTGCTGTAAAATATGCTAATTAGCAAAATAATCAAAGTAGGCTTGTTTTATCTTCCCTCAACTCCACAGCCTAGAGTCTGGGGGTTGGAGTGATAGTACATGAGGTAGGGTGTTTGCCTTGCATGCGGTTCACCCAGGTTCGATTCCCAGCATCCCATATGGTCCCCTGAGCACTGCCAGGAGTAATTCCTGAGTGCAGAGCCAGGAGTAACCCCTGTGCATCGCCGGGTATGACCCAAAAGGAAAAGAAAAAAAAAAGAGTCTGGCACCCAAGGCTCCTATTTTAATATGATAAAGAATTTGCTTTAAGATCAAACAAGGAGAATTTAAGTACTAGTTTTCTAGACCTCTTTTGCAGATAGTCTAAAACATCACCTACTAGATAATGAACTCAGTAAAATAATTTGTTTAATCACTAAAAGGACTTCATTCACTTACTTATTTGTTTCATATATATAAACTCTTTATAAAAATGACTACAATTGTAAAATAAACTATTTTTGTCATTGAGTTGAATAATAACATTTATTAATTTTTTGTTTTGTGAGCCATACCTGACAATATTCAGGACATGCTCCTAGCTCTGTGCTCAAGCATCACACCTGATGTGGCTGGGGGATCATATGTAGTATTGGGGAATCAAAAACAGGTTGAGTACGTGAAACAGAAGTGGCAAAACCCATGTGCTATCTCTTATCACCCACTGAATAATGATACATAAAAGCTAACCAGGTTCTAATTTCTAGAGCCTGTGAGCATATTACTTTATGTGGCAAAAGGGACTTTGTAGATGTGATTACTGTAGTGAACTTGAGAGAGGACTTTTATTTTGCATTATACTCTAGGCCCGGTAATCAGAGTCCTTATAGGAGGGAAGCGAGAGGTCAAAGTTAAAAGGAGACTTAATTATAGAACTAGAACTCAAAGTGCAGTATCTTAGAAGATGGAACGAGTGACCATGGGTCAAGAATTGCAGGCAGTCTCTAGAAGTTCATAAAGACAAAACTACAGATTCTTGTACATGGTCTCCAAAAGGAACTGCTCAGCTGACATGCCTTTAGCCAGGTAAAACTGATTTCAGGCATCTAACTTTAAAAACTGGAAGATATAAAATTTGTGCTGTTTGAAGGCAATGTATTTGTGATGGTTTATTATAGAAACAATAGGAAACTAATGCAGGTAATAATCTACCTTCAGGGATCAGGCTAATTGTGTTTTAGGTATGCTTCAGTTTCAGCAGAAAAAAACCCCACCATTTTACATATTAAAGGAATTGATATACCCATTGCTTCTTGTTTTTTCCTCCATTGGTTCCACTTAAAACTGTACAAATGACCTCATTCTAAAGAGACTCTGAATTGCTGACATCTGGAGCTATTCTGTTTTCTCACTTCCAGCACTGGACTGACATATTTGACCTTCCAAATATGGACACCTTGCCATGTGTAGTGATACCTTCACTTTCTGTTACCATCTGTTAGAAATTCCACATAGGCCTCATATTTGACCCTCTATATCATCACGTTTAAAACAACCTTTCTTATCTGAATTTTGCATCATAATTTGCTTCAAAACTCTTCAGTGCCACCCTCGAGAACATCATGCGACGACTGGAATGGGAAGGAATGGGAGTGAAGATAGATGGTCGGCAACTACACCACCTCCGCTTTGCTGATGACATTGTTTTAATAACACCAAACATCAGCCAAGCGGCACAAATGCTGGCCAACTTTGACCGTGAGTGTGGAAAGGTAGGACTACAGCTGAATCTTACGAAGACAATGTTTATGAGAAACAGCCTTGTTCCTGATGCCCCATTCGCTCTCAATGGAACGACCATCTCCGAATGCAACAGCTATGTGTACCTAGGTCGAGAGGTCAACATGACAAATGACCTGGCACCCGAGCTGCGCAGGAGGAAGAGAGCGGCTTGGAACGCCTTCAAGAACGTCGAAGAAATAGCTAAGAGGACGAAGAACCTCCGGCTCCGGGCACATCTCTTTGATTCCACTGTTCTTCCTGCATTAACATATGCCTCTGAGACCTGGGCCCTACGCAAACAAGATGAGAACGCTATTCAGGTCTCCCAAAGAAGAATAGAAAGAGCTATGCTTGGAATATCACGTTTCACTCAAATGAGAGAAAGAATCCGGAGTTCTGACATCCGTCGACGATCAAGGATCAGGGACGCTGTCTCATTTGCCAAGGTGTCGAAAATCAGATGGGCTGGTCACGTAATGAGATTTAAAGACGACCGTTGGACTAGAGCTGTTACTGATTGGATTCCACGGGATGTCAAGAGACCGCGTGGCCGCCCACCTACCAGATGGTCAGACTTCTTCACCAAGATCATGAACGATCGGTTTGAGGCCCTCCATGTTCCCGGAGCGAAGAGATGCCATTGGGCTACACTAGCACGCGACAGGGACAAATGGAGACGTTACTGGCGCCCGCTCGAGCAAATCGACGACTAACGGGAAGTTAAGTGATTAAGTGAATTTGCTTCAACTGACCCAACTTGTACCTTAAAGTTATTTTAAATTTCTTTTCTTTTCTCTCCCCATACCTTTTTGTTCCATCTTTTGCTAAATTGTCCCCTTCTCTTCCCATTACAGTTCTAGCCACCTCCCTCTCTCTAATCAGTTCAAGAACTTGGAATGTGGGTTGTAGAGATAGATAGCTCAAGGATTTGAATTTTTCCCCATAGGCAATAGGTCATTGCAAGCATTTCAGGATATAGACAATTTAAACAAATATATGTATATATATGTTGTGTGTATGTACATATAATACATATATATACATATATGCAAATATGTATGTATGTGTGTATATATATATATATATATATGAGTGATAGCACAGTGGTAGGGCATTTGCCTTGCATGCAGCCAGCCCCGTGGAGCTGGGTTTGATTCCTCCACCCCTCTCGGAGAGCACAGCAAGCTACTGAGAGTATCGCGCCCGCATGGCAAATCCTGGCAAGATACCCGTGACGTATTCAATATGCCTAACACAGTAACAATTCTCACAATGTTACTGGGCCCGCTAGAGCAAATCTATATATATATATATATATATATATATATATATATATAGAGAGAGAGAGAGAGAGAGAGAGTGTTTGGCCACACCGGGCTGTGCTCAGGACTTAGTCCTGGTTCTGTGCTCAAGGATCACTCCTGGAAGACTTGAGAGATTATATATAGTGCCAAGGATTGAAGCCAGGTCACCTGAAAGGGAAGCTCCTTACCCCACTGCAAAAGTGTTTTGCCCTTTCATTTACTATTTATTTATTTATTTTTCACCAGCAAACATGTTTTATTTATTTTTTATTTTTTTAAATTTGTTTATTTTGAATACCCATCCCTCCACCAGTGACCATTTCTCACCACCACGGATCCCAGTATCCCTCCCACCCCCCACTCCCCATCCCACCCTGTCTCTGTGGGAGGGCATTCCCTTTTGTTCTCTCTCTCCTGTTGGGTGTTGTGGTTTGTATAAGAGTTAAGCCTGATTTTCAGGGAGAAACGTTGGATGATTTACTTTCCATTGATCACTTTGTATATAGGGAGATGTTGCGCAGCCGCATGCTTTGGAGTAAAAGTCCAAGTCCTGGTTCCCGCATACTCGAGCTATGCTTGTAGAGGCTCATGGTCACCGGGGTTCCATCTGGAGGAGGCAGGATGTGGCACCTACCCCATCTGGGACTTCCCGGTGATCCTGGTTCTTTTTGGGACCTGGTGCATTCTCCGGGAGCTGTGGATGCCCCTCCCCCCACCGCGGCCTTTCTTCTCTGTAGCTGTGTGCTGTAAAGTTGGTGCTGGGGGCTGGGTTGTGGGCATGACTTCCAGAATCAGAGGTTACCTGGGAGCCGGGGCGGTCCTGGCAGTTTGGAGTAAAAGTCCAAGTCCTGGTTCCCGCATACTCAAGCTATGCTTGTAGAGGCCCATGGTCACCGAGGTTCCATCTGGAGGAGGCATCATTTACTTTTTAAAAATCGTACTTTATGCAAAATGGTAGATGCATGTACTAAAATTAATATATACTGCTAGAAAAGAATGATGAAGAGAATAAAAATAGGAGTCTGACTTGAAATAGGATATTGTTACACATTATCCTATAGAGAAGTTCTTATAAACAACAAATATCTTGAAGGATTTTGAAGACAGTAAAATAAGAGTCAGAAAAACCAAAGGATCAATATCTTATATTTTGTGGCCATTTCTTTTCATATCCCAGAGAGGAAATGAGTACTCTCAATTTGAAAATTCACCCCTTTTCTAAACTACTCTAATGAGAATTCTACATTTCTGCTGTTTCCATACCTTTTTGCTTTTTCATGAAGAATATGGACTAGGAGATGGAGAACTTATTTCTAGTTTGGCTGAATTATGACCTGGAGCAAGTTATTATCCTTCTCTGGGTCTTTGTTTCTCTCTCTTCTAGCTAAAATTTGATTATATTGGGGGTGATATTCCCCTCCCCTCTGGATTAAACTAAAAGCTTGGAAATGTAGAATTAAGAATTTCTTTTGTTTATAACAGAAAGGAGAAAGCAGTTGGGAAGGAATAGCATGTAGAATGGGAGCAAATTGTATAAAAGCCAAGTACCTTGGCTCCTGGGAACCTTCAAATCATCCAAAGGGCTGAAGGTTGAAGTGTTTTTGTATGATCTGGTGTTGAAATAAGAGGATTCTCAGTTTCAAGTGTTCTGAAAATTCTAGGAATTTGGGAAAGAAGGTCCCAGGTAACTAATTCTGTAGCTCGGATATTTAAGAATGGCTCATTAATGACCAACTAGTCCTAATGAATTCCTTAATAACTAAGGATGCCAAATATTTAGAAGCAGAGATGGTTTGCCTTTTGACATAAAATTTTCAAAAAAGTAAATGTCTCTCAAGAAAATGTCAGATAAACATATTTTCAATATTTTATTGTACACATTAATGAGAAAAAGAGTGAGATTATAACCTACCCAAAGAACATTTTTAAAAGCTGGCTTTGTATTGGCAATTTAATAGCCTTACAAGCTCAAGAATACCTGGTTCTATTTAATAGGATTAGAAACTGTGAACATTGAGATTTTCAGGTTTTAGAAATAAAGTATTTGTATTTTTATTGCACAAAACTTTCCAAGTGAATCTTTGCCTTATTGTGAAGTGGCACTACTAGAACTTCAGTAATTTCCTTAATCTATTTCAGGATTCAGATAATTATGTTAACTGTCTATGATCATACTTGTATTGCTGATATAGGATTATAGTTCAAAGTCTCTTTATGCCCAAACAGTATTTTTTCTCATTGCCACACAATTCAGAAATTCCAAACTGTACTAGTGTCTAAGAGCCAAATCTCACATTGGCTTATTGAAGAAAGGGATACTCAGGAAAGCAGAGTCTGATATCCTTAGACCTGTCTCTATGCAAACAGTGACCTGTCAGGAAATTCAAGGTGGGTATTTGTTACCATATTCCCCCAAACCAAGCAATAGTCTTCAAATATTATTTC